GTCATATTGGACAGGTTGGGGGGCTCACCTTTCATCCTCCAGGCAAGCCCCCGATGCCACACCAGTCCCTCCAGCCAGCTGGGCTCCTGCGGTCTTGTTGATCTCCATCACAACCATGTTGCCCGTGTTTGAGGGCTCCTTTCTCCGTAAGAGGTCATTGACTTTGGCCCCCATGGCTTTGCCCAGGTTCTTGAGGTGCTGGCTGCTGCCCACTCTCAGTCCTGGCCCACCAGGCTCTGCAGAGCTCAGGGTGGCAGAGCTGGGGGCTGCAGGCCTGGGCAAGTGGGGGAAGGAGCGGCTTGTCTGGAGCTTGGGGGTGAGGGCTGTGTTCAAATTCTCAAACATGCTATGGTCAACTATGAAAAAGAAGAAAGAAAAAGAAATGGATGAGCAGAGGGGAACAGAACCTGGAACCTCATTTCTCTGCTTAATCTGTCTTTATACCATTCCCTAAGTTTGTAACTCTATAACCCTTTGGAAACATTCAAGCAGAAATGTTCTTGAACTTTCCAGTATAGTTTTCTTGATGGAACACGAGACCAGAAATTCCAGTTTTGCCCCACCCGAGTTAATCAGTGACTAACTCTAGTCATCCATTGTGAACTTACTCCTTTAAATTGGCCTCCCTGACTCATGGCTTGACCCCTTTCTTTTGGGGTCACAAGGCCCTTTGAAGTAAAATAAAAATGACGATGAAGCAATGAGATGGGACATGTTTACAATGCCATGAGATCATGCTGAGCTCTCTGATTCAGGCACTAAAGCAGAGCCAGAGGAGGGATGGCAGGTGTGTTTTGGAGAAGGAAGTTAGCAGAGCCAGAGGAGGGATGGCAGGTGTGTTTTGGAGAAGGAAGTTTCCTGCTGAAAGCTCCACGTGTGCAGTAGTTTTTCTCCATGGAAAATGGGCCAGAAATTCCTCAGGTTTCCTGGGTCGAAGTTGGGAGCATGGTCAGCTTATGTGGAGAGGCCACCAGCTCACACCAAATGGACCAGTACTCTGAGCCAGTGAAGCATGATGATTCTGACAAACCCCAGACCACTCTATCCTCACAACCATCCAATGGAGAGGGGTGCATAGTAAGACATCCATTTATACATGAGGAAGGGCTCAGAGTGGCTGAGAGTAGCAAAATGCTGGACCTGAGATGATAGCACTAATTGCCGGTGGGGCTGGAAATAGAACTCAGGTCTCCTAACCCAGAGCTCAGACTCTTTCAGCTACTTTGCCTCTGAGTTGGATTACAGGAACAGGTACCTAAATACATTTGGCAGATAGCCCTTCTCTTGGGCTTCTCTCTGCCTTGAACAATTAACTGAAAGGGCTGGACATAGACCCCTTGGGTCGTAAACATTTGTGAGCAGAACCGTCAGCTCATGATGTCTTCCACACCTCACCCGGGTCTGGTACATGGTAGATACTCAACAAATATCTTGAATTGTCAAAATCCATTTTTCTGTTGGAGAATTATAGAGGACAAGATGGAAACGCTAAGGCTTGCTGCTGAAAGGGCTCGAATTATAGGCTCTGAGCCATGCTATCCATGCATGTCCATGCTGGAAACCCAGCTCAGTAAGCAAGGCAGCCAGATCTACCCGGGGGGTAGTTATCAGTCTAGGTGAAGGAGAGGCCGTAAACTGTTCCTAGACTCCTCTCCTTGTCAATTCTCTCCCGAGAGAAATGGAGATCAAGGTGGAGTCTTGCTTCTGTCCAGTTTGGGCATAAAGGGGTTCTCTCTTCCATTTATTGATGAGTCCTGGAAAAGTGGTACACATCTCTTTCTTGTGGTTTCACCAGAGACATTCTCTCTCAGCCAACTACCTAGATGAGCCATGTTCTAAGGGTGTTTTGGTGGCAGGGAGAAAACCATGGGAAGGATGGAGATTCGCTCTCTGTAATGGCTCCAACTCACATGCAGGCAAAGGCATCACTGTGGATAGGGGCATGCCAGAGAACTTGGGCTACAGCACCCCTGGATACAGATGTGGCTTGCTGTATGAGCAGGAGTTCTCAGCCCACCCTCCAAACAGCAGGGCCACCAAATCCTAGTTACTCTCCTAAGGGTGTATCTTGCCATGCCATCTACTTAGGCACAATTTACCTGTACATCCCACATCCTTCTCATTTTCATTTACTTATGTACTCTGTAAGTGAATAAAGACTTTGGAAACTAAACAATTTAACCACTGCCCCTCACAGCAAAAGTGTACGGGCACCTGAGGAATCATGTGAAATGCATCAAAGAGGTATGTTGGGAAGAACAAGTCTTCCACCACTTCCTGGATCAGACATTTCCCTGGTGGCTTCCTTTCTGGTGAATATTCAGAGCAGACATTCATTTTTAAAACTGAAAACACAAAACTTCAATTATTATTATTTTTAAACCACTAGAACATGTAACTTTTGGATTATGTACCATTTTGAATCTCCTGTACTTCTTCCTATACCCTTTATAATATAGCCCATAAAATATACTGAATTCCTAAGTAATTTAAAGATAGCTTATCACATACTCACTTTCAGTTGGCTAAATCTTTCTGGTAAATACAGCTCATCTCTATAATGGTAAGATTCTTGATGGGCTGGAGAATCTCTTTTTAAATTTAATTTTTCTATCTTCTACAATGCTTGGTTTTGGGTTTTGCACAACTGTGGGTATTTTTAATGTTAATTTAATCGAATTTGACCTTTATATTAATTCTTAAAAATGGTATGTATGATGGTTTGACATTGTAAGGAAACTGCTCATGAGTCTGTTTCCATTTATTAAAAAAACACTCAAAACCCCTCTGCCAGGGTACTCCCTGGGGCTCTTGATATCAGACCAGGAGAAGCTGACCTTCTTTTCAGTCTGGGTCTCTAGCTGGGGCCTCCTTTACACCCACACCAAGGAATGTGCTGGGAGTCCCTTTCCTGCTAACTCCATGATGCCCACACTCTGTCCCTCCTGCCTCAGGGCTCTAGGCTCATGATTCAGAAAACAATGGCAATGAAGGACAAAGAGGTGACTGGATCCCAGTTAGGTGGTCCACCCAACAGCACCCCTCCCCAAACATGCACATATCCAAGCAAAGGGGGAAACCTAGGGACATAAGTCATCCACAAGAAAAACAGTATCTTACCTGTCCAAGAAAGAGACTCGGAAAGCAGGTGGGAAACAAGAGAAAGACAGATTTTATGTAGTGACCAATCGCTTTGAGAGTGTCACTTCCTGTCTGACCACCAGCAGTAACGTATGAGAGAGGGCATATAGACTTCCAGATAGAGGCCCTGACACCATAAGCACAACAAAACTGGGATAACTCGGTTTCCAGAAACTCTTCAATAACTAAGCCAAAAGAAGGTTGGGCTTCTAACTCTATGAACAGGCTTTGAGAGATTCAGCCTCCCCAAGTTTCCTCAATAGCTTGAGCCCCTTTCCATCAAGCTTATCTCAAATTCTCAGTTGGCCGTGGGAGATATTTGGTGGGTTAAAACAGAAAGAAACTCTTAAGTCCTCTGGATCCTGTGTGCATCACTTTACATGTCTGTTTTCCACATGAAAATAACCAGATCTTAGCCAGGAAGACATTCATCTACTCTAATTCAGAGTCGAACACCATGGAAAAGCCCACGGCAGAGAGTTTGGCCACTATCACACAGGCAACTAATGGTTAAGAGGGATGAGAAGTCATGTATATTGGCTCCCAAACTCATTAACTTGCTCTATATCACAATGGCCCTATAAAATTGCCAATACCCTCAAAGTCGTCAAAGTATGTGATTTCAGTTTATATTCCAATGAGATTCTAACACCCAAAGCAAACCATGAAACCCTGGCAGATCACGTTCTGCCACTGTCCTTCACATGTCTTCGTACTGGGAATACATACAGATAGGAAGACAATGCTGGGCTCTTCCATCTAGAATTTGAAACAATAAACTCATACAGGCTCCACTTCACTGTGGAAGGAGCCATCGCCATTGCTGCTGTCAGAGTGGACTCTATATTTAGCACCCAGGGTAAGCAATCACCATTTAGATCTGAAGCACTGTTGTATATTTAGCTGACAGGTTCTGGTGATGCAGAATGGGGCGTCTTCAGCTCATCTACAAAGTTATATAGTCGTCTTTCATTTATATTCTCCATTCCACTAGTGTTAGGTTATACAATGGAGCAAAGCTAAGTGAAGAGACAACTCTGATCCCCTGATACCCAAAGAGCAAAATGGTATCCACTGGTATTTTAGTCACTTACAGAAAGGAGCACTACCCATTGAAAACAATATGTGGCCTCTATTCTTAGGAAAGGCACACTGAATTGTTAAGTAGAAAAGGACATGTTTGAAACTTATCCCTGAATAGTTCAGAAAAAATCAAGTATGAACTCATATACATAGGACAGTGGGCGAAGGAAAGTGATAAAGCAAATGGGGTAAAACGTTAACAATATGAAAATCTGAATGTGGGATACATGGATGTTCTTTGTGCTAATTTTACTTTTGTGCATTTTATAAATTTGACATTATTTCCAAATAAAATATTAAAATATCTATATCCAAACCTCCAAACTAAAACCCCCAAACTAAAACAAAAACCACAAAAACATTTGAAATTAGGCAGATAAAGACAAAAAGCAAGATGATCATTCAGAGAAGACAGACGCTTCCCAGGGCTGGGGGAACATGGTATGGTCAACACAGAAAAGTGACAATAAAGAAAAAAGGGGGCAAACTGACAGCATTGCTATCCTATCTGTACTATATTTTTCGTTCTCTTGGGTATCCTCAGCTAGGTCATACCACTGAAGAAGGGCGTCAAAAATCTTTAGCAACTAAAGAAAAAGCAAAAATTCTTGCTTGGAATAGATCACATCCATCTTTCACAGGGGTAACCTATTGGGGTGAGTGGAATCATGGGACCTTGTGATGTCATCTGTGTTCAGAATGCTCATCGCCTAGGCAACCCAGCCAGCCTCTAGTGAGTAGGTGTATGATCTACATATCCTTGTGGAGGGCAGAATATGGAGAACTTCTCACTCCTTAGCATCTCTGGACCTCGAATCTCTTCCTCTGCCCGGAGCACTTTTCCTGACATTTTGTCCTCATGTTCCACCAGCTTGCCAGGTAAATTCTGGTGTCACTAGGGCCACAAAAAGAGTGAGGGTTTGAAGCTTTTAATCGAGGACCCCATGAGATCATGTTACAGGACCACAATTTAGTGAGAAGGCCAAATTACACATGGGGAGAAAGTAAGTTTTCAAAATGCTTCTTTCCTGGTAAGTAATTCTTGCTGTTAAATCATTTCTGGCAAGGGAAGTATAGGGAAAATGTTTGTTGTCAAATTTCTTGCCCTGGAATTGGCACAAAATGTCAAGGCAGTGGTCTGTCTAACCGGAAAATTGGTACTTGATTTAGCTGTTTTGATGACTAGAGATTTAGGCTTCAACCATCAGTGGGTGGCTGAAAGCAGGGTAACTGATGAGTACATCATGGCATAAAGTTGGACCCTGAGTACTTGCTATTCAAAATCCAGATCTGTAACAGCAGTGTCTCCCAGAAGCATGTTAGAAATGCAGGGTCTCAGGCTCCCGCCCCAGACCTATTTAGTCAGAATTTGAATTTTTAAACAAGAGCCCCAGGTGATTCCTCGCACATTAAAATTTGAGTTCCATTGTTCTGTGGAGCAGTTCTCCTAAACATCCTTTCCTCTACACAAGATATTTGTAAATCTGCCCCCCTCCCCAACCAAAAGAAACCCAGTGACTGCCCTGGGATTTGAGGTAGGTCTGCTTTTTATACAGATATTGCAGGGAACAGGGAAGACACACATGACCCCCCCCCCTGGCCATGGGTGTGAGATACTAGAGTACCGAGCTTCTCCTGGAGACCAGAGTGTGCAGAGGCCGGGGGCGGGGATGCAGGGTGAAATCATACATACTCCAAGCTGCAGAAGGATCAGCTGAGGGATGGGCCTGGCAGAGAGGTGTCCTCTGGGCCACATTTGAAACCTCCCTTTCCAGAAGATCTTTCTATGCTCTAAATAAAACTGTCCCATTTGGAATTCCCCAGGATGTCATCCAGAGTAGCTCTGCTCGTCTGGGGTTCAGAGGTTGTTTCCCTTTGGTTTTGAGATACTCTGCCATACAGAGGGTGAGCCTTTGGGTTTATCTCAGGACACTTAAGAAGAGGACTTCCAACCTTGCTCAGCTCACCAGAGTTTCTTCTGTAATTCAGACATTGCAAAGACAGTGGTACCCAAGGAGGCTGCCAATCCAGCACAGTCCTTGCCACCCCAGTACCAAAGAAGCACTCTCCGGCATGGGGTACATAGCAGAGTGCCCTTCCCAGGTGAGGCCTTCTCTGACTCTGAGTGGGAAGCTGAGGTTGGACCTAAGCGAAGGGGGTCGCAAGCTGCCCATGCACTGCTCTTTCCCCTAGAAAGACACACAGGCCTGTGGAGGCCTCTTGCCTCTCCTCTCCTATTTCTCAAGCTGATGTGGAGAAGCAGTTTCTGTCTGAGGAGGTTATTGAGAGATCAAGATGGGCAGCGAGGCTGGAAAAATGGTCACAGCCATTTGGTGACAGAGGGACAGTAGGATTCTGTGGCCTGGCAGTCCATTAGGCCAACTGTCTGGGCCTCTCCTTAGAGGAGTCAGAGAACAAGGTGTCTCCGGGGAGGAAAGGACCTGACACACCCTAAGGCTTAGGATTGAGAGGGGCCTCCCCTGTGTGGACATCCAATGGCCATTTGTACCAACAAAAAGAGAAAGCAAGACAAATACCTCAGATTGCCCTCCCCAGCTTATCTTCTGCCTGCTCTCTGTCACCATGCAGGTGGGGAGGAGGTGCCCTGAGGCCCGGCTGCCCATCTTGCCTTTCTGCTTTTCCTGATGGCCTCCTGCCCCTGCAGTTTCACTGCTACCTGCTGCTCCCTGCCCTTGGCCATGGCTCAGACTTAGCCCTTTACTTTGCAGACTGCATGCCAGGGGACACCCCAAACGGAAAGCAGTTGAGGCGCAACTGCATCATCTACCGACCCTGGTTCTCCCCATACAGCTACTTTGTGTGCCTGGACAAAGAGAGCCACCTGGAGGCCTGCAGCCTCCCAGAAGTGGAACAGGACGGGTGTGGAGGGGATAGCAGCCTTCTTGAGGATGTGGCTGAGAGTGTCTGCTCCTCCTCTTCCTCCCCAGAGAACACATGTCCCCTGGAGGCCACCAGAAAAGCCAGGCAGAGCCTGGACTCCATAGATTACATCACATCCCAGGACATCCTAGTGGCCTCTAAGTGGTACCCAGCCCAGCAGAATGGCTACAAATGTGCAGCCTGTTGTCGCATGTACCCTACTCTGCAGTCTCTCAAACGCCACATCAGGTGGGGGTTCAAGGAGGGCTTCAGCTGCAGGGTATATTACCGCAAGCTCAAAGTCCTCTGGAGCAGGGAGCAGAAGGCTCGGCCTGCAGACAGGCTTTCTTCAGGCATCCGCCAGGCCTTCAAGTAGTCACCTCAGGTAAATCGGAGATGAAGCCTATTGATGTCTCCAGAGAGAAGCCAATAAATCAGTTAGGCACAGCCTTCTTTCAAGTCTGGGGTCACCTTGTACCACCTGCCATCCTTCCCAGAGCCGATTTTGTCCTTATCTCCTTCATCTAACAGTCGCTTAGCAACAACAGCTCCACCTCCTTGCGTGCCTCCCTCTTTCTCTACTCCCCCCTCCCCTTCTCTCTGAAATAAAGACAGTGTTTGAGGCTTGGGAATATCTTCTCAGATAGTGGTTTGCAAACTACGGTGCCCATACGAGCAGTATCAGCGACCCTCTGGAACTTTGTTAGAAATGAAAAGTCTCAGATCCCACTCAGCCTTCCTGAGTTAGGAGCTCCCGATGGAAGCCTGGCTTCTCGAGTCCTTCCAGGTGACCCTGAAGCAGCTGAGAAGTGAACGGTATGGCTCCAGGTTCCTGGCCTTCTGCGTGGCTTGGACATAGCCAGCTCTACCTCCACCCCCGAGGAAGACAGCAGGCTGGACCCCTCCTGTGTGACAAGGGGAGATCGACTGCAGGCGGAGTGGGCTTCCTAGACGTTAGATCCTCTGACAGGTGGGATGGGGAGAACACCTCTGCCTCCCCAAGTTTGGGCCAGTGTGTGGGTGAAGGGGTCATCCTCAGCCCTTGCTGATACACAGTAACTTCCTGGAGCCTTACTTTGTGGCTCAACATTGTGCTGTTCAAATACCATTTGTGGCTCTTTTGTTTCTCAGAGAGAGAGGAGCTAGACTCAGAACCCCATTGCTTCCTATGCTGCAAGACCAGTCCTGACCCCATGCTCTCCATCCCCACCCCTCCCCATCCAGCCAGAGTCCAGAGTCCACCAGGCCTTTGGGCTCAGAAGCTGGGACTTGCAGCTCACCACTGTTCGCTCTAGGGCAGGGGAGTTGTAGGCGACTCTCACATCACTCCCAGAATGCCCTCCCCTGAGAGAGCAATGAGCGACCGGGCAAGTCTTTGTGTTGTCTGAACTACTGTTCCTTCTTTCTTCTTCTCCCTCTCCCTTCTTCATCTTTCTTCTTTGTAGCAGGGTTGAACCCAGGACCTGGGTCACTGAGCTACATCCCGACCTTTTTTTAAAATTTAAGTCTTAATTTTGAGACAAGGTCTTGTTAAATCAGTAAGTTGCCCGTGCAGGGTTTGAACTTGTGCTCCCCCTACCTCAGTCTCCGGAGTCCTGGGATTATAGGCCTATGCTGCCATGCCCAGCTTGAGCTACCATTTTGTAACTGGAAGAAGCAGGTGAGCCCCGGAAGGCTTCTCCTTGCACACATGGTGTGCGGGTGTCCCCTGGATGGCACTCCTGATCTCCCCATCAGGGAGAGGCACATAAGGGGATGAGGAGGGCACAGTCTCACTATTGTTGGTGGGAGAACGAGGAAAGGAACTGGTCTCCTGTCTTCTGCCAACCTCCTACTTCCTCCTCCAGGGCCTTGCACCACAGGCACCAGTCAAGAGAGGAAAAGAACTGAGCCCCCTCACTGCCCAGTGAGTGACTGTGTTCAGTGTCTTCTCCCTAACACAGATGCCTCCACATTTCACACTTAATGTGCTGACTGTCGTAACCCCAGGAGTTTCCTCAGTACAGAGCTCCAGATAAGGTCTCAGCACAGCGGAAAAAGAAAACAGGCAAACAACTCTACCAACCAGCACTGGTGCCTGGATCAGGAAGCTAGCTACAAAGTAAACACACTCTGCCAGGTGGGTGCTTTCCAGGGTAATCTCATTTACTCTCATGATAACTTTTTTGTAGTATATACAATCCCATTTTATAGATGAGAAATTAATGTTCAGAAGGTGTAGGAACCTGGCTTATTAGATCCTCTCAATTTTCTCTCTGGCCTGCGCCAGGGAAAGCATAATAGCTAAAAGTTCCAGCCAAAGCTTCCAGGAATAAGGAAAGGTAGAGCTGTTCTGTGAGATCCTGCAGCTCACTTCCCAAACACTCCTTCCTTTCCCAGCACTGTTATTTTTTACTTCTCCGTGTTCTGGGGAGTCAGGATTGCTGTGCTGTGCTGTATGGCAAAGGTGCCATAATTCCTTCCAGGTAAGGACAGAAAGCAGCACTTTTTGCTTCTTATATGCAGTTTCATAATGGTCCTATTCAGGCTCCTATCGACTACTACTGGTTTCAGTTGGAAGTCAGTGAAATTGTATAATCTTGATCTTAGTTTTGTTAGGATGCAGTAATTCTAAAGCACTCAACATTTGCTGTTGCCACCCATGTATTCTAATGATATTTGGAGTTTGAAAAGATCTGGGGTCTGAAGAGACTTTTTTCAATGGGGTGGCTTTCCTGCCTTAGCTCTACAGACACTTTGGGTGGGATAATTCTTGGCTGGGGGAGCTGTCTCGTGCACAAGATATTTAACAGCATCCCTGATTTCCACCTACTATGCGTTAGGAACATACCTACTGATGGTAAAATCTGATCAGTTGTATAGTCTGACCTGTAAGGCTGTTTGCACAAACCCCACTGTGGGCACCACCTTCCTCCCCTCTTTCAGTGAGGGATCCCTTAGCGCTACACCCTCGGGAACCATGTCACAGAGCTGATTCTTCCTGGCTTGGGAAGTGGGTGGAAGTAAGAGGCATAGAAGGAGCAAGTGAAAAGAAGAAGCAAGAAAAGACAATGGAAAAGCGTTTAGAAATAAGAAAGGTTTATTTAGCAAAAGCCACTAGACTAGTGACAACGTCCAAGGAGTAAGTGCACTTACATTAGCAGAATCTTTTCCCAGAGAGTTGATCCAATGGAATTAATGACACAATAGTTTTGGCAAGTAGAGGGCTAGAGGGCTAGAGGGTAGGAGGGTAGGAGGAAGCAGTCAAGCAAAGAGTAAATAAAGCAATACAATTCCTAAACAAGATCAGTTGAGAGAAGTGAGCCAAGAAGAGGTTTTACAGATAGCACTGATACACAGCAGGGATATAAGGAATATAATTTTCAGTCCCCACACACCTGTGAGACCTTGTGTGACCAAGAGTCTGTTGGCACATGAAGCAGGCTAGGGCAGGCACCAATAAGGGAAGGCCCCCTGGTGTCCACATGTTCTCCACATAGGACACAGTAGAAGGATAAAATAAGGGGAAGGCAGGGTTGAGTTAGCAGATTGAGAAGCAAGGAAGGAAGAGGACAGAGTAACGTCACTGGGAAATCAGGTCTGTAACATTCCCTTCCCTTCCTGTCCAGTTGGCCCCAGTGGAGGGTTGGTGGCTAGTAACCCTTCCAAGCTCCTAGATTTGTCCTTGGTCTCCCATCTCCACACGCCAAGTGTGCACATATTTGGGTCACCCTGGGGAGGGTGCCATAAAGGAATGAATACTCCAAAGAAGGTTTGAATCAGGGAAAGTGTAGGGCTGAGGCAGTGGAAATGAGGTCTTAAACAGGCCCCAGTTTAACATCATACGTAACTAGTCTTTCCATTTCTTTCACCTTCCTTCCATTTCCTTTCTTCTTTCCCTTTATGAGCTTTCCAAGACCATTTAGAAATTGTCTTCCCCGTCTACTCCCTAACCACATGCATACAAGACTCCTCCAACCAAAGTTCATTCATCTAATCCTCTAGTTCTACCCTTAACTCCTGCTTGCAGGAGACCTTCTACTCCCTTGTACACTCAAAGCCTGATGGTCTCAGAGGTCTCAGACTCATGGAATCCTGGGTTAGGATTTCATAAGCTAAGTAGGCTCAGCCAAACTGGATTTCTGATGGCTGTTCCTTTGATCCCGTGGACCTAACCTTCCTGGTTCTTCTTCCCTCTGTGTTTGGACCTATTTCCAATGCTTAATTAGAAAATGTAGCCAGCTGAACCATGTCTCTCCAACTAAATGCATGTTAGGAAAAGGATAAACATCTATTGTTGATTCAGTCATCCCAAAGATCCTCTTTGTCTTCTCTTTAGTCACTTCTCACAAGCCTAAAACATATCCTTACTTTCCCTTATACATGTGCACACATACACACATGCGCACGCACACACACAGGGCACCTCATTCTATTTCCATGAACACCTGGATGTACCAGGGGAAGCTAATGGAAAGCTGCATTTATTTTCTTTAATTTGGACTTTCTGGTCTGAAAGAAATCCAAGCATGGCTATAACAGAGGGCAGCACTTGCATTTATATCAATTCTAAAGCAAAGTTGGGTTTGAACTCCATCTGGGACAACTACATCCTTATCAATGGGCCTGCTAGGCTGGTCGGTAGACTGTAGGCTGGTCTGTAGCTTGTGGTCTACGAGGAAGACTTCTTCCTCTGAACATAACACTCAAGCGTATCTCAGCTCTCTCTTCAGCCATCTCAAAATCTATTGTTAACAGCCACTTGTGGCCTTACAGAAGCAAAAGCAGCTTTTCTTCATGGGCCCTGCCAACCTGTTACCAAGTAGACATCCCTAGGCCAGTCCAACCCAGTAAAAGATAAAAGAGTTGCACACTGAACTTTTTCCAGGTGTGCTCAAGGCATGCACCCACAGAGAGGCAGGCCAGGGTGGCAGGACTGTGGTCTCGAATCTAAGTGGGAGTGATTCTGGAAGAGTAGACAAAAGTAGTCTCAACTGTCAGTTTATGTCCATTTTTGTTTTGTAGTAAAAAACCAGTCATTACCATCTAGTGGAGTGGATAGGAGGAGAGGTAAAGCAGGGCTCTCTGGGTCTCTGAGCTTTCAGAGAGGCCAAATGCTATAAAATGTTTGGCTGGCACAGCAGGGAGGCGGGGTACTTCCCGACCTCTATTTACAGGAGCCAGTCTGCAGGCGGGAGACAGGCTGGGCAGGGCTTCCAAACTGAAGAATGACTTGTGGCAGCAAACAGGCTGTCCTGAGCCTGGGCTCTCACAGCAGGACCTGAATGAAGTTAATGCTCTCACACTCCCTCTGAACCAACATCCTGATAGAGAAAATTTCACAACCAGTTTCCTACAATAGTTTATCCACTGCAACGTACGACACATCCCAATCCATACAGCAAAAGCAACAGCCTGGCTCTTGCAACCCAGAACACTCAACATCTACAATCTCAGCAAGGGTCTGGGAAGGGATTCCCCTGTAAGGTCAGGGAAGGGTTAGGCAACTGGTAGCATCCTGATATCCAGAAACTGAGTACCCGAGAAGGTACCAATGGCTTCCCTTTATGGTCGGGACCATGGAAACAGGGGAGTCAGGGGACCCCTGAAGCATCAAATGACGGAGCAGAGGAGTCTGACAGTGCAGCAGGTATGGGGGGGTAATCTTCCAGCAGCCCAGTAATGTTGAAGAGGGACCCTCTCCCACAGCCATGGGCCCAGGAAGGCCCTGCTTCTACCACCTTTGAGTCACAGCAGAAGACAGCTAACTCACCTCTGGAGTCCAATTTCCTCCCAACGTCCTAATCCCCCTCCGAAGCCTTCACCACTATCCTGGCTCCTGGGGGTTATCCTCAGCAGCACACTTTCCCTGGGCACCTCTACCCAGGCAGCGGCCAGACACAGCCCCTTGGCACCTGGCGGTGTCTCCTCGCCCCACACCTACACGGCGATCTCATCATCCAGGCTGTCGCCCAGCTCCTGCCTGGGCAGGACATTCAGCAGGCGCGGCAGCTCCTCCTGGGACCACGAGTCGCGCTCCTCGCTCTCGTCTGTGTTGGACTCATACTCCGAGGCGATGCCTGACTCTCGGAACTTGAGGAGCTCCAGCCCCCCCAAGAGAGGCTCCCCCTGCGCTGGGGGCGGGGTGTCCTCCGAAGGGAGGAATCGGAAGCACTCCAGCTTCACCAAGCAGTCGTGCCTACCTAAGGGGCTGCCCGTAGGGGGCGCAAAGTCAGCCAAGCCTGCGCCCAGTGGCTGTGAGGAGTGCAGGTCTTGCGGCTTAGGGGTCATGGGGTCACAGAGCACCGGCAGGGCTCCCGAGCGGAAGGTGATCTCCAGCAAGCTGTCCTGCGAGCCCACTGTGGGGAGACAAGAGGACAGGGGGCAACATCAGGCAAGGTTCGCTTTTGGAAAACCACGTGGGATGGGGGTGTGGTTCACTGGCACACGCACAAGGTCCAGGTTCAGTTCCCAGCACCACCAAAAAAGAAAGAAAGAAAAAATGATTTCCAAGGGACCTTCCTCCGCACCCTCAAGCACCAGCTATACGGAGCAACTTCCAGAGGCTGGCAAAGACAGCAAGAGAACCACGTGATGGTTTAGGAGGCCACTAAATGCCTTGCCTGGGGTTTGTGGCAGAGAAAGGGTACCAGCTCAGTACCAGCCTCTGGGAGGCTGAGGCAGGAAGATCCCAAGTCCGAGCCCAGCGATTTAGTGAGACCCTATGGCAAAATTTTTAAAAAGGTGGGGGGTGCTAGGGATATAGCTCAGTGCAAAGGTTCTGGGTTCAATTCCTGTACTGAAAAAAAATTTTTTTGATAACCTTTCTGTAAGTCAGCATTAGCTAGGACAGAACAAAACCTCAGTAAACCAACCTCTGGACAAGCCAGAGAATCTTACAAAATGGTGAAGTGGTGACCAGCCTTTGGGCCTTTTCTAAAATACAGACTCCCATCCTTGCCCCAGCTCTACTGATGAGAAATCTGTGGGCCCGACTCAGTGATACACTATTGTTTTGATTTTTTAAGCCCATGAGTTAGTTTGGGAGAACTAGTGGTACAGATTGGGGAAAAAAAATTGTTTTGCAGCTAGATCAGGTTGTGAATCTTGGCTCCATCCATATGACCTTGAGCTAGTTACCTAACCTGTTTCCTTATCTGTAAAATGGGTATAACAACATCTACCACTATAAGGATTAAATGAATTCATAGGTATAAAAATACTCTATCACCACTTCTGGAACTATAGGTGACCAATGGATATTTGTAAGTCCACCATTGCCACAGACTCTGAGCTTGCACAGAGCCCATGGGTAAGCTCAAGAAGAAGGGCAGGAGATGTGCCACCTCTTACTGCTTTCCCAGCCTGGAGGCAGCTGGGTGCACAGGCAGCACCCCTGCCAATGATCAGCACAGCTGTCTGGCTACAGTGACTGCTGCCTTGTCTATGAAGCAGAAATATGGCTATCACCTCTTGCTGTGCAACAGAGTCGTGAAATATATAGTGCAGGGAGTCAGCTTCTAAACAGTTTGAGATCTCCCAAGAGAGCTCACAGAGAACAGGGCACCCAATAGGTGCTCCATATACTTTGAATGGAAAAAAGCCTTCTGAGCAAGAAATGGGCTGCCTTAGGATGTACAGTGCCAAAGCTCCTGTCAGGTAGAGGCCAGATGAGCATGTGGCAGTGACTTCTAGGGACACTAAGGGCCTGGGTGGTTGTGAGATTAGCAGATGGCCAAACAAAGGGCCAGTTTTCAAACAAAGAGCCTGTTTTCCAATGGGCAAGGTCAGGGGTCCAATAAAGTTTCCCCCAAAGCCTTATGGAAGCGACATTTGTTTCCCAGAGCATGCACACAGAAGTGAGGGAGTCGGGCAGGGCCCTGGCTTACTGGCATTCTGTCCTGACAGCTTCAGCTCCAGCTCCTGAACCTGCTTGACCAGCAGGGAGATGTGCTGGAGCATGTCCTTGTTTTGCAGCAGGAGCTGGTGTACACGAGCCTGGGCCTCCAGCCGTGCTGCAGCCTCCGCAGCCAGTTGGTCCTTCAGCAAGTGAACCTGCAGAGAAGAGGAGACAGGCAGGACACAGGGAGACAGGACAGAGAGGAGAGAGGGATGTGAATGCAAATAAGGATTGCTGTGCATGGCTGAGACTAGAGACTCCTTCTCCATTCAACTGAAGATGAAGACTTGGGCCAGGGATTTAGCTCAGTGGCACTGTGCCTGCCTTGCAAATGCAAGGTCCAGAGTTAGATCCCTAGTACTGGGGGAAAATAAATTAAAAAGAACCGGAATATTTAAAAAAAATGAAGACTTGCACAGCAAAGTGGACACCTGGGCTTGTGGCTCTGAAGCAGGAGCCAGAGAAGCTGGGTCACCGGGCCTGTGATTCTATGTGGGAGGCCATGAGGTGTGACTCAGATACCACTCTGCATCCCATGCCGAGGGGCAGAGACAGCACAGAGCTGCCCGCCCCCCACAGCTGCCATCCCTACCCCGAGAACGCCTTTAGCACCCAACGCAGCACTGCCCTGTTGAGGAGGGTACTCCTGTCTCATTTTTCAAAAACAAAAACACAGAATAGTGTTACAGCAAACTCCACATAATCTTTCCTTCCCTCTTCTTGAGTACAAGTGTGAAGAGGATTATAAAGCATAGCTGCGTGTAGTGATAGACACCTGTAATCCCAATACACTGAGAGGCAGAAGCGGAGGCGGGAGGAGCACAAATTCAACTTAGCGAGATCTGGTTTCAAAACGAAAAATAAAAAAAAGGACTAGGGATGTAAATCACTGTTATATATATATATATATTTTTTTTTGGTACCAGGGATCGAACTTGTGTCCTTTCTGTTTGTGAGGCAGGCGGCGGAACCACTGAGCTAAATCCCTGACACTCAGTACCATATTTCTAAATTAGAGAGCTGGGTATAATAAGGTCTTTCTTATGTCTGTGGGGACCAGCTTCTCGGCCTGAGCAGATCCCTTGTATTTTCCATGGAGGCATTTAAGACAATGATTTCTTCTTGGAAGAGGCCAAATGTTTGCTGTGTGACTCATAGCAGGGCCTCCTGGCACCATCAGAGGCCACACTGAGGTAGATCATCTACAGCAAATTTCTCATCAATTCGGGGCCTTTTGAGGGAAGAACAGTGGGCAGCACCACACTTAGCAGGCTCTGCGCCAATGACATCTAACCGCCTCTGAGTGTGTGATTCTCATGTGAAACAATTCAGTGGCAGGAGATGGGGACACAGTGATACTCTGGTTCACAAACTTAATTCTTTCCATAGTTCTGGTCACAAACTGAATTAAATCTAATTCTGATTCTAATTAAACTAAGTCAAAACTAATTCAGTGGTTAGGTTCAGATCATGACCAATTTGCTTCGTGACCAGAATTGTGGAAAAGAAATAAGTTCGTGAACCAAGGCACCACTGTATCAGACCTCTGGCTTGAGGAAACCAAGTCACCTGGCCAATAATAATGTCCACACATATACACTTGTCCTAGGAAGTGAATAAGGAGTTTCCTGAGAGGGTTTCAGGAGGTCCCTGAAGGGAACTAATAAGTTTGGGGAACCAGACCAAGGAAGTTTATCAGGAAAAGGATTTTTTTTTTTTGGCACCAAAAGCATGGTATGGACAAAGGGCACAGGGTCAGGATAGACGTGACGTAGAGGGGAAAGATGGTGGAGGGCAGTCACATTGGCTGATTCTCTTGCTCAGATAATTCCTGTTCTAGATATCTAAAACTCAGCAGTCGCTCTCTACAGAGTCACTTTGAGTCAGGAACCATCTTACTGAGTCTAAGGCCCTTAGTGGCCCCCATACCTGCCCCTCCTAGAAGCCCGTATTAGGAAAATTATACTCGGGTACAGTGGCTGCTTCCCTCTCAGATTTGAGGACCTGGCCTTGCAGCTGGCTTTGCTATCGACCAAGTGGAGCCACTAATGAGATGAGCTGCCACTTTCTATGAGTGGCTCCCTCAGGATAAGCCGATCCTTCTCCCAGGGAGATGATGCCTGAGGAATCTAAAGTAAATCTGTCCTCCAAAAAGCACTGGTAAGGAAAGAATTGGCATTTTGGTCAAGATGTCAGCCTCTTTACTGTTTCTTATAAAGTAAAGAAAGCTCTGGAGGGAGGCAGGGAACAGAAAAAGAAAAAAAAATTCTTTTTTTGATACTGGGGATCGAACTGGGGCCCTTGTGCTTATGAGAGAGGCAGTAGAACCACTGAGCCAAACCCCCAGCCCTGGAAAAAGAATTTTATTTGGGGTGGGCTGGGGATTTAGCTCAGTGGTTCCATTGCCTGCTTCACAAGCACAAAGACCCAAGTTCGGTCCCCAGTATCAAAAAAAAAAAATTTATTTGGGGTATGAGATGGTGGGAGGCTATTAAACCTTTTATCTTCCTTGGAAATTGAGGGGTGGAGTCCCCTAAATCCTACTGAATCAAGAACAGGGCAGTTCCTATGGGCAGCTCCCAGATGTGCCTGCAGAGGATGGACCCAGTCAATGCTCCATCTGCTCATACTATTACTTATTCAAAGTAAGAGTATCATTGAAAGGAATCTACTAAAGCAAGGAGAATTGTTAATTATTCGTTTTCTATTTTCTTTGGAAACAGAAATGTCAGGCAGAACTATGGATCCCACTTTTCAGTAGATGTAAACAGCAGAAAACACTGCATACCACTAGCTGAGGTCTATGGAGGGCGCCTTACACATACGCTATAGGCTCAAGTCCCTAACCCGTACTCTGAAAGCTTTTCAGTAGATGTAAACAGCAGAAAACACTGCATACCACTAGTGAGGTCTATGGAGGGCGCCTTACACATACGCTATAGGCTCAAGTCCCTAACCCGTACTCTGAACATTCTGACAGAACAGAACATTCAAAAGCACCAGACCAGGAGCTGCCATGCTCGAGTCTGTTGGACTCTCCCTAGGTAAATGTAGCTACTTTGCTGCCCCCTGGACCCGTTTCTACATCTGTAAAGTGACGGGGCTGGCTAGCGGCTCAGTCGATTCTACATAAAGATGGACACAGTGATCGTTACTAGAGGACATTTGCTAAAGGCTCACTGAAGAAAAGTCTCCAGTTCCTCATCGGGACATCTGAGAATCAGACTTGAGGATGAAGGAACTTGAGTGGCTCCTTCTTACAGAAGCCAAAGGAACAAAGAAAGAAGCTTCTTTTATAGGCATCGAAGTTCCAACAGTAGAGCGCTATCAACATATAAAAAGAGAACTTTGAATCAGATGCTCCCATCACGAATGTCCTAGCACTAAGTGCCAGGAGAAAACACTCCTGAGTCTGAGTGTTCCTCTTCCCAGATTACATAAGAATTTTACCTCTGCAAATGCAGTTACACCATTTCAAGTATTTTCAGACCCTGTGAGTGTGGAAAGCACATCCTGATGCCACTGCTCAAAACTTACACTAATGAGCCCTTATTTTGCTGCACCTGTCAAAAGTGAAAGCAGGCATAAGGTTCAAACCTCAGCTGTGGAAACCTGTGCTACAAGAGAATCCAAACCAGGCCAAGTGGAGAGAAAGCAGCCTGGATTTCTTGGAACTGTGAAGAGAATGTGAACTTGAACTTGAAGCCCTGAAATGAGGCAGCCTTCCTCTCAGCCTTTGTCGAGGCTTTGTGCCATGGCTCTCTGTGCTTTGCTTCCCCATTCATAGGACAGAGCAGAATGTACCTCCTCCTCCCTCCCAGACGGGATCTTCTTTTGTGTTTAGCATGCTTTTCCTTCAAAGAAACACCTTTCATAAAAGGAAGGCATATTAATTTCAGTGAAGGCACATGTAGGGTCTCCTTTCTACAGCTGTGTCACCTTTGGCAACAACTGTTCTACTCACAGACCGAGTCAGAACACAGCACACAGTGATCTGGCACCAAGACCATCCTCAGTGCTGGGGTCCATTTCTGCAACCTGGCCACGGCACAGCATGCATCAGTTCAACCCTGCACCCTCCAGTTTTACGCCACTTCCCACAGTTCTGACACCCACCCTCAACCCACCCCGCAACATCAGACCATTCACTCTCCAGCCTACTTGCCTGGACTCCAGCTCCTCCATCAGAAGTGGGGGCAGGGCCAGGCTGAAGTTAGGGAGCAGTGGGCACATGGAAATGGCAGTGGAGAGAACCAGAGCAATTTGCCCACACACATACACACACATAAGCAGAGGCAGGCAGCACTGGCGCTGTCTCAGCATGCATATTGCAGGGATTTGGGCAGTGCACACCAGGGAGCTGGGGGCTGGGAAAAGCCACAGGGACAGATGCTAAATCTAGGGCCTGTGGTGGGGATGCACAGCATTTTCAACACTGTTCCTCTAACTAGCTATAGCACACACAATGGCGAAGCATAAATAGCCAATTACTTGTTCCTAAACAAGCAGAGGTGGCAGAAGGTAGAAGGAAAATCTTTAAATAGCAATAATGAGCTGCACTAACGTTTTCCCATGAGCTAGGCCAGGAATTGGCAAACTGTGAACAGACATGGCCTTAATCTTTGCCAGACAGCCACGATGCCCAGATCCATTCGGGAGCCATGTAGGCCCAGCCCACAGCCATGCAGGCACCAGCGACATCCCGGGTTGGATTCAAGGCATGGCTCAAGTCTCATCCACACCCTTGAACTTCAGGTCTATCCAAAAGCAGGAAGCTTGTGCAGCCAGGCAGGCCCCATGCTGGGTTGGGAGAGCAGGTCAGAGGGACTTGGATAATTCACTATTTACACATTGAGGCTTGATCTGGAAATACTTAAAAGAGTTGTCTGAACATCTCCTTTGTCTCTATACCTTTAAGGCCTGGGCAGGTCCCTTCAAGACTAGCTCTGAACAAATTTAGGGTGAGGCTGGGAGAGGTCTTGAGGGCTTAGATCAAATCCGAACCGTGGAAGAGACCTAAGTCTCATCTCAGTGGCAACTGCAGAATGGGGCAGGGGACATGAAAATGCAACAAGTGACTCCAAGACTGCACCTGGCTCCAGACACTGAGGCTCCATCCTTAGAATTGTATTCCGGAACAACATAAGAGTGCGTGGATGCTCACAGAGAAAGGGAAAATATGCTCCTACCTGCAATGCTGCGGACTCAGTTTTACTCACTGAAATTCTGAGGATTGCTGGTAGTTTAATGAAGAAAGTCAGAATTTGCTTTTTGCTTGCAGGAGAGTCTGACAGAAAAAGTACAATCTGACCTCATACTGGAAACTGGAATCAGTCCTGCTCAGGCAGAGAAACCACACCTGCTATAGCTGGGTTTATTCCAAATGTGTCAGAGACACTAAGATGATCTATTAACCGCCTACATATCTTATTAATTGTTTTACTCAAGGATATGGACGCTAATTAAAAAAAAAAGCCCTTGGGTCAAATCCTACAGAGAGAGTGGAAGAATGTGCAAAGAAACCCTTAACTGAAGGCTGCTTTAGGACCAAATCCACCTATAGGAAGTCCAGCTGAGGGAATAACACTCTGCCTACAAGAGCAAGATGCAGACAGAAGGGAGGCAGGGAGAGGCTGACTGATGGGGAGTCCAGGGAATAATAGAGGAGCATGTTCAAGAAGCTATCAGATGACCTCAAGGTCCTGTCTAATCTGAAGATCCTGGAAATCCACCACTCTACCCAAAGTCAGGACATGGATGTTCAATGGTGGCTCTTTGGTGGCATTTCATCCTGTCACTGCTTGTGTGAGGCAAGCAGGGCACTGCCAGCTTCATCCAACAAATTCCAAAGGAATGAGAGGCTAAGGCAAACCCCAGACATGACACTGTTCCCCTCCCCTGGATTCACTGTCTTCTAGGAAGGAGGCAATTATTTAAAACAGGCCGGGCTGAGAAGGGCCTCTGAAACAGATGCTTGATTCCATGCCAGAAAACCACTCTAGGGTTACATGCTGGCTGTGGCAGACCTGTAACAAGGTACAGGTCTTTCTGCTTTGTAGATTCAGTGTTTTCTTCAATCGCCGCAACACTCTCGTTGTGTGTTGGTTACACGTTTGCAAATAGTTTTTCTGAAATACTTAGCAGTTATCAGACTGGAAAGCCTTTCTGATAATATAATATCATGAATATGCATCAAGCCCAGTCTTAGATAAATAATAATTATTTGGCAATTGATATGCTGTAAGAGAAAAAGAATGATGGAGAATGGATTTCTTTTCAATGGGACACTTTGGGAAATGATGTGTCTCAGAAAACACCCAGTGCTGGAGAGCTCAGGCTTTGTGCTCCTGTCATCTATCAGGCTAGGGAGGGAAGGGGGATTCTCAGATTGGAACACCATTATTAACCACAGGAAATAAATTCTTTTGACAAAGAGGGCTGATTTTTTTTCTCCAAGCCACTAATGATATTCCCTCCTCTCTACTGCTGTCTGGGAAACATCTGCAGATCCTCCTAGTACTACCACATATCCTTTGGCTTCATGGTCAGAATTCCTTTTAAAGGCTCTTGACCCTTCAGGACAATATCCCACTGATTCAACTCTTCTGAAACTGGCTGCCAAAGTCACCCATGCGGCTGGTGTTTCAGGCCTGGTTGGTGAAGAAGGATATAACAAGGCCTTTTCAAGGCCAAGTCACAGCAGATCTGGTCTCGGCTAAGCAGCTGGATACTTCCTCAAGATGTATCACCACTGGAAAGGACAGCTCTGCCTGGGAGACTCACTCCCCCCAGGAGCCAGGAGAAGAGTACGCAGATGACAAAACGAGGATCAACAAATGCTTTCTGGAGAACTCTGTACCCTGGATTTCAGAACGCAGAAAACCAAAGCACCCAGTCTGGCCAAGTGGATTTAAACGCGTAAGCCTACAGCCGCCTTACCAGTCCTCTCACCATCTCTCCCAAATCCTGACTGCCCGATTCTCCTGATTATCTTCAACCACCCACTCAAGTGCTGCGCTTACCTGACTCGGCCCTCAGGAGTCAGGCTCTAAGTGGAATGGATGAATGTGTCTTCACCATTCCTGATCATCCAGGTAGAGATAAAGCTCAGACTTGTAAGTTCAAAATGCTGACTGCAGAGCCCTCTACAGAAAGGAAACAGGAGGCACTTCTGCTAATAGCTGGAGGAGGGAAATTTAGCTCAACTCTCTCCTACTAAGTAGAATTTAGTGCAACAAGCCTTCAGGGCACAAACACTACCTCAATCCGTTAGGTAAGCAGATTCTTCTCATTATGGCTCCAATAATCTACCTAGATTTCTATAAATTCAATCGCATTATAAGGAATTCCAAGGCTAGCACAGCATCAAATACTGCCTGGAATAAGTAGAATACAGGTCAAGGGTTGGATGCCTGTAATGGACCAGGAAGTTGAGATGCCAGGGTAGTAAGAAGTGTTTGCAAAGATGTTCTGCACAAATTTATACTTTCAGGTATTTTGAGAGTGGTATCTTAGAGTCTCGCTTGTCCTGACTCCCAAAGCATCCTTTCCCAACTTAGACACCAGGAAAATAAGATAGGAAAGGAAGGGTGAAATTGTGCGCATCTTTTTCCTTGTTAAGTCCATGTCATTATCCAACACATCCAGCCAAGCCAGCCAAGTCCAACTCAGAGCGGGGGATACATGGGAAACCAAAATGTGCCTTTCCATTTCACTCCCATCCCCTACCTCTCCCTCACCCCCTCCACTGCCCCATCTCCCCAACAAGCAATGATCCAATAGCATGAGCGATTCCTTATGGCTCCCTAGGTTTAAACCTGCCCTGAGCCCCTTGCTAGGGAAGGTGCGTCAAGCCCACGAGAGTGGAGCCTGTGAAGTAGGGAGGAGGCTGAGGAGAACCTGGGCCACAGCCACTTGTGTCTGCTGCTGCTGCTGCTGGAGGAGCTGCTGGAGGAGCTGCATCCGGTGGTGGGTAGACAGTGGGGTCCCGCTGCCCAAGCCTGGTGGCTTCGAGTTCGAGGAAGGCAGCAGCATGCGGGGTGAGGCTGTCAGCGTGGGGTCCTGAGGGTGGGGGGAGACCTAGAGGGAAACAGAAGATAGGACGTCACACTGAGGCAGGGCCACCCTTAAGACTGGACTCGGTGACGTGTGTGTGGGAACAGTGAGGGAGCCCACCTGGAACATATGAGCTAGAGACGGACTGGGATGGGGCTCGGGAGAGGAAGCAGTCGCTGCCCAAGCGTGGACCCCACAGCCAGGAAGGTGTTTCTGAAACTGATTCCTTGTGAAGAAAGACTGGTAGCCACTCCGCTGCCAGCTCTCACCCACCGCTTTGCTATCATATTCAACTATTGAGTTATTTGAGGTTCTAAACGTAGAGGAATCTATTTCTATAAAGATATATCTCCACCACCCCACTATGAGAAAAAGAGGGGGTGCAGCTCAATCTGTTCTTTCATTCTGTCCTTAGGGCTCCCTCCTCCAAGGTCTGAGATGTTTCTCATGAATCAGGCACTATAGGAAGAGGACAGGTGAGGGGTAGCTGCCTCCTGCCTTTCTCCATCTCTTTGTACAACGAAAACCACCAGGGAGGAACATTTGGACACAGAAAGTCAGATGACAGCAGTGTCTGGCTCTTCCTGCTGCTGGACACTTTCACTAAGGCTGCTGCAAAGGCAGCTCCTACGACTCAGGGGTCAGTGGTAGGGTGACACTTCATTTCTTATGGTTCTGTAGCTGGTCCTTTTTCAGACATACAGGAGGACAGCGCCTGGGACAGAGGGTCTATAAAGGACTAACCAGGTATCCAAGAGAACATCAGCCACTGCTCTCCTAACTACCCAGATTTCTCCTTCTGATGAGTTGGTCTGACAGCCTCCACCTGGGACAAGGCATATGCAGGGTAAAGAGCCTCTGTGATGGCTGCAAATCTAAAGGGACACCTGTTGGGCAGCAATCTTCTTCCTCAGTTTTTGTGTTTAGCTGTCTTTAAGTTCAGGTTTGGTCTTATGTTCTTAGTTGGTTTTTGTGTATATATGTATAGAACTATGGATTGAACTCAGGCCTTCACACTGAGATACATAACCACCCCTAACACCCTGCTTTTAATTTAAAAACCAGGTCTTGCTAAGTTTCCCAGGCTGGGCTCAGAATTGCAATCCTCCTGCCTCAGCCTTCCAGAGTACTGGGATGATAGGCCTTGTGCATGGCTAAACTCTTAGTTTTTAAATCTGGATCACGTTAAGGACTCTGGAAGCCTCAGTCATTGCACCTGCAGGATGCTAGGCTGGAGCTGATGATGCCTATCCTCAGGTGGTCTGTAGGTTTCTTACATGCAATGGGCCAGTTGCCAAACTCAGCAGTGCTGTTACACAGGAGTTTTAAAGGCACACAACCACGAGAGTATGCAGAGAGGCCTGAACAGATGCGGGGCTCTCTCAGCTAAGCCCCGGGGGAATTATGTGTATTCTGTGCAGAGATGAGATGTTGCTGTGGAGGGAGAAGAAAGAAAGAAAAAACTGGTGGGGTCCTGGGAGGATAATGCATGTCAAAAATGAGCCCCACAGCATCCCGACACATGGCAGTGTCGAGTGTGGCACATGGGGACCTTATCTGCAGAAGCTGGCCCTGTCAGAGGCCATGACACGCTCCAGAACAGCCACTGCAGCTGAGCAGCAAGAGCCAGAAGGCAACTCTGAGGGCCTGAAGCCGAGGCTGAGGCTGTGACACAGGCCACTCAGGGAGGCAGCAGGGAGGCCCTGTGCAGATCACCCTGATGAGCCACACCCTACCTACCTTGGAGTCTGAGTGGGAGCCTCCTTCCTGCCCTACAGCATCCAGGTCGGTCACTCCTCGGCTGAATTCCAGGACATCATTCCCTGGGAGCGGGACCTCCACTGCGTCAATGTCAGTCTCCTCTGCGGTGGCTGTGGAGGCCCTCTCGGCTCCAGTAAGCTGGCGACCTGCAGCGACAACAGGGAAGGGAATGGTGACATTCAAGAACAACGTCTTCCTTACCTAAAACTTCAGTTATGTCAGTCCTAGGGATGTTGTGGACTTCATCACAGTTTCACACATCTTTTCATTCAAACACATTAAAAAACCTTTCCAGCCCCAAATGCTATTCCTACCTTAAGGGCTTTTAAAGCTGCAGATGTAAAGGGAAACCTTTTAGTAAGCCTGGATGTGTCAGCTTTGCCAGGGTGGCACGTTTCGAGACATGGAGTATGGGGGTTCTGGAAGAAGAGGGTGTATACCCATCACCTCCTCCCAGCTCAGGAATGGATGCAGCCCAGGGAAACTGCTCTGGGTGGAAGTCCAGAGACATGGAGACTTGCCCAAGCTAGACGCAGGATGAGCTGTTGGGTAAGGAGCAAAGCATCTTGTTCCCTTGGCTCAGCTTCCTGCAGTAGAGGCTCAGTCTGAGGGGCAGGTCAGGTGCAAAGATAGAGGAGGAGCAAGGGCAGGGAGATCTGAGTCCTTTCTATCGCAGTGTCTACCTCCCAGCCTTCAGAGCCAGACTCATCCTTTCCCTGGAGCACATACCAGAAGAGGCCTGTGGGAGGTGACGGGGGTGGGAGGAGATGCAGATGGCAGCTCTCCTATGCTCCTCAGCTAATTGTTTTTACCCTCCACTTTTCTTCCTGTCCCATGTCCTTGATCACAAACATAGCCTCTTGCTCAATATCAAATCTAAGTTCTACTTCTTTTTTCTCTTCACTCTTTGCTTCTCTCTCTGTCTTGGACTCTCTACAAACACCTGATAGTTCCTGAGCATTTCATAGGAAATATTTTATTGTTCTGTGTTTGGGTTTAGGTCCGTCGGTATTGTATTCAAAAGTGATTTTTTGGAAGTTTTCAGAGACCAAACACTAACCGGAGGATGGAACAGGCTGCAACAAACGAGAAACACAGAGAGCTGACACCCCAGTGCTGAACCTAGTCCAGGTAGCCAGGCCTCAGTCATGTGAGAGCCTGCCTTACAGAACAAGTGGTTCTAGGACTTCTTCCCGTTCAAATCGACACAGTCATCTGGGGAGACAAGTCATCGGCATGCTTGTTTTTCCTCTTGGCTGTTCCAAGAGCCAGGAAGGCAGCCTATTGAGGAGTACAAGGCATTTAACAAAAAAGATGGCCCTGATGGGAGACTCTGCACTCCTTTGTGTGCCAGCAGGCAGGTAGCACAGAACAGCCTGTTCGCCAGCACAGAAGTAACCTTGACAATTGATCCGGTGGGCCAAGCGGAACAAAGGAATGACGGTGACCCTAGGATGATTCTCAGTAGGTAGATGCTGAGAACTGAGCATCTGGTCCTTCATGGCTTTCTAGGAATAATCAGGGTAAAATGGGCATTCATCTGAGCAGGAGAGGTTTCCACCCACCATCAGGTGGAGCTGGGTTCCCATAGTTCCCTTTGCAGCTGGCACACGGCATTAAACATGCCTGGCCAACCCCTTTCCCTGCAGAACTTGAGGTCAGGGCTGTATCCCATTCATGTGTCACCCAGGAATCTGGCTCCAAGGAGGTGCCCATAAATAGCAACAAAGGCAACAGTGTTGTGACAGGGTAGCAAAACAGGGGATTCGGCTATAGGAGGAGGCTGCCTCTCACAAGCCTATCCCGAAGATCCAAATAATGAAGACTAAAAAGGTCTGGACAGAAAGCTTGGCCCCATCCCTGCCAGAAGCTCAGATAGGATCAGAAAATCTCTCAGGTTCTAGTCCTGCCTCTGAGGGAGTCTTAAAAACCCAAACTGTGCAGCCATTCTGTCTATACTGGTGAACTCCAAAACTGTAAACCATGGGAACTTTCTGAGACGCTTCCTACCACCCAGCAGGTGCTCAGATGATCACATTTGGAGTCTTGTTTGCTTAATGGGTGCAGATCAGCATAGCAGATTGGTTAGAACCAGGAAAGGGAAAGCCACTCTGTGGAGTGTGTGTACTTGTTTCCCATAAAAGACGAGACCCGAAGGAGGGCCTCACAGCCAGCGGGCTTCTTCAGATCCCATCAGATAAAGAAGAAGATCTGGGAACCGAAACTGCTCCACCACCTACAAGCCTGAGAGACAAGAAAAGGCCTGAAAACCCTGAAGAATCTAGGAAACTTATGGAGTGGGGCTTTATAGCTTCCAAATTATGACAAAGTGGGGTACAACCAGGACTAGGAGAGGGGCTTGGCAATGCTGCTTTCTGAACTACTTATTTCAACTATTTCTACATGTACATTAAACAGTAGAAGCCATTCAAAAAATGCTCACTTTATTCCTTTATTCAATAAGCATTAAGGGCATGGAACATAAATATTAATGAGCAAAATCTGTGTTTTTAGTGCTTTCCAGCCTCTGGGGGAAACATGTAAACCACAGCTGTGGCCTGAGGGTACGTTACCTATGAAATAGAACCTAAGGTGCAGGGCAACAGAGAAACACCTAACAAGTGGGGGCTCAAGCTGTGCAGAGGAGAAACAACTCCTGAAGGAGGTGCATCAGCTAAGGCAGGTGAAGCAGCAGGTGTGGGGCAGGAAGGGCATGGGAGGGGGTGAGATGGGTGCAAAGAAAAAGTGGTACAAACATCCCGTGGTAGGTCAAGGGCACCATAGGGAAGAACTTGATGAAGAAGAGTCAGGATGGATTGAAAGCAGGCAAAAGATTTTCATTCTCTAAAATTACACTCTACAGATGCTGTGGATGACAGAGAAGCACTCTATGCAGGACACATGAGAGGGTAATCTAAGGGTGTAGCAGTGAAACAGAAAAGAGGACAGATTTGAAAGATCTTTGGGGGGGCAGAAATTGCTTGATGATGAACACTTAGGTGGTTTATAGTTTTTTTGGCCATTATTTTAAAAACTACTGTGAGAGCTGGGGGTGGTAGCACATGCCTGTAATCCCAGCATTTGAGAGGCTGACACAGGAGGATCACTGTGAGTTCAAGGCCAGCCTGGGCTATGTAATGAGATCAAGGCCAGCCTGAATAACAAGTGGGTCCCTGTCTCCGAAAAACTAAAAACCTACTGTGAACATTTGTGGACAGCTCTTTGTAGACAGATGCTTTCACTTCTCTTCATTTAGCACCTACGAGTGGAATAGTACGATCTCAGAGTAGATGTGTTTAACTTCTAAAGATCTACAAACGCTCTTCCAAAGTGGTCATTCACAGTATCATTTGTATGGCACTTTTCCCCTTCCCCAGGAGCATATGAGAGTTCTCACTCCCTCATTCCTTTGACTTCCTCTCAGTACTTGGTGTAATAACCACCACCCCCGCCATCAAACTCAGGACCTGGCACTTGCCAGGCAGGCACGGCCCCGCTGAGCTACATCCCCAGCCCTGTAGTTGGCCTTTTTGGCGTCTAGTAGGCCTAATTCTAGCAATACCAAGGTGGTTGGAATTTTCATTTTCCCAGTGGCAGATAATGTTGGTCATCGTGTCCCTCTGCTATCTCTTTATCATCTCTGAAGTGTCTCCTCAAATCTGCCCATTTAAAAAAAATGTCTTTACTGAGCTTGTTTTTTTCTTAACAGTATCTTTCAAAGAATGTAAGTTTTAAATTTGTAGTAGTCTTAATTTATTAATTACAAATCATGTTTTTAGTGACATGAGAAAAAATTTGTCTAAACCAAGGTCACAAAGATTTTTCTCCTGTGTTTTAAGGTTTTCATTTTAGGTTTACATTTAAGTTCAAAATAGCCACGAATTTTAAACATTTTGCCACATTTCACTTAGTTTATATCTATGCTTATTTTTTTCCCTGGTGCTGGGAATTGAACTCAGGACCTTGCATTTGCAGGGTAGGTTCAGTGCCACTGAGCCACAACCCCAGCCCTCTCCATGCTTATTTTTTCTGAACCATTTGAGATAGGTGGCTTATATTATACCCTTCTACTTCTATATACTTGAGCATGTATTTCCTAAGAGCACAAATATCCTTACAAACCACAAGGTATAGTTACCAAGTTATATAGTGAACTTGATTGATAAATACCGATAAATTTAATCCTTGGTTTAATCTGCAGTCCATCTTCCATCTTTGTCCACTTTCCCAGTAATACCCTCTATAGCTATGTTTTCCCCTAAGATCCTATATTGCAGTTAGTTGGTCCCTTGGGGCTCCTAAAAGCTGGAACATTTCCACAACCTTTGCTTTTCATGCTGCCAGTGGCTTAGCACTGTACAGGCTGGTTGTTTTGAGTGTCCTGTTGGGCTTTTCTATTTTCCCCTGGTGTTCTGGGTGGGAATATTATGGAAGTGAGGTGTCATCATCAAATTTCACATGAGAGGGACATCAGGTCTCTTTGCCCCTTTCTGGTGGGGATAATTTTGGTGAATGATTGGCAGGGTTAGTTAGACAACTGTCTATGGTCTGAGAGTGTTGGCAATTTGTGTGGGATGAGATTTCAAATTTCTCATTTAGGTGTCCTGATAAAAACTGGCATCCTATAGGGAAAATTCATCAGGAGTAGGATTGTAGGTAAGAGAATGAGTTCAAGTTTTAAACCTGCTGAAATTGTAAGAGCTTATATGTAAGAGTCAAAAGGAGATGCCATCACATTGCTGGGTATGTGCTACGGACTGCATGTTTGTACCCACTTAAAATTCATATATTGAAGCCTTAACTCCCTATGTGATCATATTTGGATACAGGGCTTTTGAGAGGTAATATGATCATCAGGGTGAAGCCCACATGATGGTACTGGTGCCATTATAAGAGCATGAGATATTTTCCTCTACAGCATGAGGAAATGCAGCAAGACAGCAGCTGCGTGCAAGCCAGGAAGCCCTCACTAGAAGTGGATGGCCTTGGACTTGTCGGCCTCCAAGACTGAGAAATAAAAGTCTGCTGCTTAAATGATGCACAGTGTTATATGACAGCCACAAAACATTAAGGGGGAGAGGCAGAAGAGGTGCCTGCAAAGTTTGCTGAAAAGCAGGTGGCAGAGAACAAAGGGAAAGAGTGTGCA